AGCCTACCATAGTCCATCCCGCAAAGTTTCAGGCTAACCAGTGGCCCCCGTTGGAAAAACCTCAGCTAGAAAAGGACTGTCATGCTATTTTCCAGGCTACTACAGCTGAGCATTAGCCAAACTATTGCTGGGCTTAAGAGAAAATACAATTGAAAGTAAAGTTAGAAGGGGTGGACTGCGTAATGGATCAGCCACCTATATAGTGTCTTGGAGTACAATTAAAAGGATAATGCCATCCATGTCAAAACGCCGATTACAGAACGGCGGATTGACCCTGAGAGACTATCAAGGCAATGATATCCCTATCATAGGTCAGAGTTCTGCAAAAAAAAATCAGATGGAACAATGGCTGTTGACCTCTTTCTATCAGTCCATGTTAGAAAGTGTCCTCACATACTGCATTACAGTATGGTACGCTGGACCTGGATACTTGAGAGACCGCCTGCTGCCAATTACCTCCAATAGACCGATTAGATCCCACAGATTAGGCCTCCTCCGAATTCCATCCACCGGCCAATGCCGGCTGGCGACTACCCGGAGGAGAGCCTTCTCTGTGGCTGCTCCGACCCTCTGGAACGAGCTCCCTGTGGAGATTCGTACCCTCACCACCCTCCAGGCCTTCCGCAAAGCCCTAAAAACCTGGCTGTTCCGACAGGCCTGGGGCTAAAGAGCTGTTGCCCCCGTCCCGAATGGTATGACTGTTGTGTGTTTTAAATCATGTATGGTTATGTTTCGTCTTTTTATTTCCTGTCTGTACCCCCCTTCCCTGATTTGAATTGTGAGCCGCCCTGAGTCCCCTGCGGGGAAAAGGGCAGCATATAAATGTAATAAAAATCAATCAAATCAATCAATCAAAATTTTCCACAAATCTTTCCAGATCCCTTGATGATATTATGGCACCTAGGGGTTCACCGATCACAAGATGAAAACCACTATAAACACAATACAGTCCATTGGAGTCACTCATTGGGGAAAGACATTAAAATACCAGAACTGGATGTTACAAGAATGAGACCAGACCGAAATTGACAATTGTAACCATAACCTAAAATTGGACTAAATATGAGCTTACAGAGGACAAAACCAGGAATCTTATGAAAAACACACCTTCAGAAAATAGCTAAGAAAGAATCAAAGCATTAAGAGCCAAACAATATTTTTATTTATTGAATTTATTTTCTGCCCTTCTTGCCGCAAGGCAACCCTTATGTATGCACCAAATAGAAATGTCATCAGGCAAAAATGCCTAGCGTGCAAGCAAGCGCTTGTCCCATTAACCGTTGATGAATTTTACAAATCAATAAAGCACCTAGCACCCAATCAACTTTGGGTGCTAGGAAGGATCTTGTTCATATGAGCTGTTTGAAACATTTGGGGTTTGGGCTTGGTGACTTCCCTTCCTCTATCTAGCCAGCCTAGATGAGTAGGATGTGGGCAAGTGAGGGTGTGCAGAAGAGTGAATGAGTGTAAGAGCAACAACATATAGTACTTAAAACCGGTAAAGCTTTGTTATGGCTTCAAATTTGACAGTCTCACCATTTGGTTGAAAGTAAATTGTGTCTCCAAGTCTTTCACCGCGGATAACCTGTCTATGCATTCTACACATTCTGGCCATACCTCTATGGATCATGTAGCTTGCAGGGCTGCTACAGATTCCACATTCCACACATGCAAAAGTGGGAACAAGTCACATAAGTGGGGCAAGTGGTAATAAGACAAACCTGGGAATTTTTTTTTAAAAGTAACCATTGATTCAACTTGAAATAGACTCTTTTCTATAGTTGATTAGCTGGATGTGCATAATGTACCCTGTTTTTATGAAATTGCCTTCACCTAATACAATAACAATCGCTGGATTTCTGTGTGTTGTCCCACAAACTATCCAATCCCATTTTAGTCTAACGAGTTGTACAAATGAACCCAACAGCTTTGTACAGTGAATCCTTAATTGATCATGCTATACAAGAGGAGTGTATGAGTTATTCTTGAGTGTCTATAATTCACATCATTTGCAAAGATATCATTTAAGCAATATTATGCAAACAAATGGTGTTTGTATAATTGATATGTCATTATGCAAATATGTCACCATTAACTCATCTTTGATGTTAGTATCACTTTCCAGCCCTACCTCTATGCTGGGTCCATGGCCTGGTAGTTATGTCTAGAGACCTTGACTCCTTGCTGCTGCTGATGAATGCACGGCAAGCCTGTAATAAAATTGGTCTCATCCATAGATTTATTTTGAATGAGGGGATGGATCTTTGCATTGTTGAAACTTACCTGGACACAGGAGTGGGTGAGTGAGATGTTCCCCTCTTGGAGATGTGCCCAGCCAGATTTCCTGCATTACATCGGTCACAATCAGAGTCACAGTAGACATGTGGCAATGATTATCCGAGACACCCTAATGGCTTTGCAGATTGCTAAGCGTCTCGGGCCTTGTTTGTGAAGATGAATTCTAGCAGCAGCAATAGCACTTGGATATATACTGCTTCAAAGTGCTTCACAGCCCTCTCTAAGGAGCTTAGAGAATCAATATATCTGTGGTTAGACAGGCATTGGAGTTCCTTCAATCTGCTGTCTCTTCAATTGGCATGGACTCAGAGATGTCATGTGATTCACCTTTTGCAATCTTCTGACAAGCAAAGTCAAGGGGGAAGCCATATTCACTTAACAATCGTGTTATTAATTTACCAACTGCAGTGATTCATTTAACAACTGGCAAGGAAAGTCATAAAATGGAACAAAACTCACTTAACAAATTTCACACTTAGCAACATAAATTATGGTTGTAAGTTGAGTACTACCTGAATTTTTAAAAAAAGTATAAATACATTAGACCAAGAATACCAGAAGAAGGAAACAGATCCTTCAAACATCTTCCAACAAAATGAATATCTGCACAACTTAATTAAAAAGTGCCTGACTATTTGAGCCACTACAGCACAACCACACGAGCCATGGAAAGGATAACATTACTATACATTACCATACCATTACAACTGCACGGATACACTATAGCACACACCAACTAAAGCCCTCCAAAACATTTTAAGTAAACCAAAAGACCCAGTAGCCTGAGAAGGAAAAAAACAAAAAAATAAAACAGGAGTCATCTATAACTTCCAGGGTTAAGGACTATAACAGCCATTATGAATATCATGCTGATGACTAGCAGAGCATATCTGTAAACACCAATTAGCAGTCAGAAGGAACAATTAAAGCTCCTTAATCTCACAATATAGACAGAATCAATTGCAATGTAGACTGGAAAACTATTAGCATCTTAAACCAAAATAAATAAATAAATGCTTAGAAGTTTAGCATTCAGACAAATCAACCATCGGCAGACTTACTTACATACCATCAGCAGACTTATCTACATACCATTCAAAAGAAACAAACAAAATGTAAGAAACAAAAAGACCAGAAGATCATTTTCTAAAGCCAACGCCCAGACAAATAGCGATTAATATCAGACAAACTATCAAGAAAACAATATTTCAATCAAAGAACTATGAAGAAAAACATATACTCCACCAACTGACAGAGAAAACTACTGTATACAAACAGGAAACAAACCCCATATTTATTCACACAGAGGTTACTTAGTTGTGTAATGGGGCCCAGATATCATAAGCCAGCCAGTTAAATGCCAGAACATCAATGATTCCATAGTTCAACCCTGAGCCATGTATATAAATATTCTCTTGTAATGGATAGCTTTATTTTCTTACATGAGATTCCCACTATTTTTGTGTCATAAATGGAAATCTGTCTTTATTATCATGTTACTTTTATACTGAATACAGCAAATGAAATTCACTGATGTAGGTTAAAAAACAAGTATTCACAGCTGTCTTATATGGTTAAGATGGTGCATATTTCTTCCCAAGAGAAGTTTGCTATGTGTGAGAGGCCTCCAATGTCTAATAGACTAAATTAATTGCTGCCTCAACACCATTTTATATATGACCAACATAAGAATTTCTCTTGAACATATACACGATAAATGAAGGTAAAAAGAAGAAGAGGAAAATCAAGTCTCAAATATTATTTTCTGGTGACTCATTTGGATCTCCATAGTCTCCTCCGATGAAGAACAGCCTGGGGAAAAAAATCACCCTCTCCAGTTCTTTGTTTCAAAAAAAAAGCATGCATGAATTATTTGCTTGGATGAATTACAGTATTATTATTTGCAGGGGGGTAAGAAACATTATTTGGAAACTTGGGAAAACAAAAGTAAGCTTTATCTGCACTTATACTGATGCTGTTTTACCGAGGACAAATGACAGCAGTAATTTTGTTTTAATCAATAGTCCAATTGATCTTCAGATTTGATGGAAGCTCTTGCATGCCCAGCTCATCTAACTTTGAGATGTCTTTTATAGGTGTACTGTAGAAATCCAAGACATCGCCCACACTCTTCATTTGATGGAGCTGGTTATTGGGGACTGTATGGTCCAGATCTGCTGCCATTTGTGCCAATAGCCGATACTTTAAACCAACATCTGCTAGGGATATCCTCTGCCAGTCACTCGAAACTGAGGCTCCCCAAATCTCTCTCACACGAGATTCTAGATGATTCTGGACATGTTCAGGAGGAAGGTATTTTCTACTTCGTGGTGGAGGGCAGACATCTATCACAGGGTAAACATCTTTCACGGGTTCTACTACTGATGGTTGATCTTGTTTCCTGTTGAAATAGAAGAGGATTTTTAACCCAACCTAGTGTCACCTTCAAAGGGATGGGGAACTCAGTGGCTACGACACTGAGCTTGTCGATCAGAATAGTCAGCAGTTTGGAGGTTCAAATCCCTAGTGCCATGTAATGGAGTAAGCTCCCGTTACTTGTCTCAGTTTCTGCTAAGCTAGCAGTTCGAAAGCATGTCAAAATGCAAGTAAAAAAATAGGAACCATTTTTGGTGGGAAAGTAACAGTGTTCCGTATGTCTTCAGCGTTTAGTCATGCCGGCCACATGACCACGGAGACATCTTTGGACAGCGCTGGCTCTTTGGCTTTGAAACAGAGACAAGTAACGCCCCCTAGAGTAGGGAACGACTAGCATATATGTGCAAGGGGAACCTTTACCTTATCGTCACCTTCATATTCAAAGGCTTACTATTTATAATTTATATCCTTTATTCCAAGGTAATCATTCTCCCAAAATAGTTTGTGGCTTGTATAAATGTTTGTAAATCAAAACACAATATTACTTAAATCCAAACAAATGAAGTCAATGATCAACTCTTTTCATAAAGTCATGGGTAGTAATAGACCTCTGTGACAAATAAAAAAATGTGTGGAATTTTGTTGGCAGTCTTCTTGGTTCAGAGATCTGTCCCACAGATCAACTGGTTAAAAAAGCCTTGACATCACCTAATCTTATTGGCATTGTTTAAAACTGCTGCATATGTAGGCATACATCTAAACTCAGAATCCTTTCCCTCAAAATCTCATACTTCAGGGACACACCTCATATTTATTAATACCAATCTGACTACTTTGCTCAGTTTGCTGAAAGAATAAATCAGTTACTTGAACCTAAATTTTCAAATTACCAAAGCCCTTGAGCAAAAGTACATCTCCTTAATAGATTGCTTAGGTATTTGCTGATGTTCCCTCAAGAGTCATCTTAAGCTAGCACTTTATTTTTAAATGGAAAATAGGAAGGAACTAACCACAAAAACTAGTTAATGCAGACCTCCAATTTATTGTTCTGCTTACCTCACTATAGGCAGAGAACCTAATCTGTGTTATGATCAGCATTTGACATCATTACTGACTGATCAGCATTTATTATACAACCATATAAAGGCTGTTTGTACCCTCCTTCAGTGGATGGTACTTATACAGGTAGTCCTTAACTTATAACCATAACGGAGCTCAAAATTTATGTTGCTAAGTGAGAAATGTGTTAAGTGATTTTTTGGTTGGCACCCAAATTATTCGTGGTCTGAGCCATTCGGGAACCGAGGTCCCACTGTACACTGGGACATGGGGAATCCCCCCCCCCTTATTTTCAAAGAGCTAAAAGTTGCCAGCAATAAAAGAATCTAACCAACCACATTGGCAGGAAAATGTGGAACTGTAAATCAGGGTTTTGAAAAACATATCGCCCTGGGAAGAGCACTATTAATCATTGCAACTTCAGAGATCAGAAAACCTAATACGAAAGACTTAAGTTTAAAAGTGCCTGACATTCAACACACAACTGGAGGCTCTCCAGGTAAAAGCTGCAGGATGAGAAAATTTGGATGTTGCATTCCAAGGACTCACTCTCTCCTGCAAATATCTGGGCGACCATAAGAGGGCAGCCCAGAGTTTCTCTTTGCTGCCATCTAGTGGCATTTGAATTTTGGCACCACAATTCCGTTAACCAGAGGTCATCAAACTTGGCAACTTTAAGACTTGTGGACTTCAACTCCCAGAATTCTCCAGCCAGCATAGCTAGCTGGAAAATTCTGGGAGTTGAAGTCCACAAGTCTTAAAGTTGCCAAGTTTGGGAACCCCTGCCGTTAACCATTCCCCCACTATCTCACTCCAACTTATCCCCATGTTATATATCCATCCCAATATGATGAGCCTCTTTCCGCGCTTGCTGCATGGAAAGAGGCCCATCAGACACTTACTTCTTTCCTCCCCAGAAACTCCTGCGTCCAGGAACCCCCAAACTCAGCCGGTGTCTCCACACTTTCAGCAGCACGCTGGGAGCCGCCATCTTGCCGACGCATAGAAAGCGCCGCCCTGCCGCTGGGCAAGAGAGAGCGCGGAAAGCCCTTTCCGCGAAAACCCTTGGCATTGTGGGATGTGTAGTTTGTGCCTTTCCCAAAGAGACATACTACTTAGAGGTAACTGGACGCGATTAGTGCTACCTTAATGCGGAGTCTCTTGTAATCAGAAAATAGAACCGCTTGGCTCAGCTTTTATTGGAAAACAAGCAGCATCAGTTTGAAACTGAGCAGGTTTTAATTGCACCGTGACTTTCTTGCCCCTCTCTGCCGCAGAGAAGCGAAGATCGCTGAGTCTAGCTGGAATGTGATTTCCATTCTCTTTGGGTGAGATTTATACAGTTAGTCCTCCAGTTGTTTAGTGACCATTCAAAGACGTTACAACTGCGCTGAGAAAAGTGACTTACGACCATTTTTCAGAGTTACGACCGTTGCAGCATTTTCCCCATGATCATGTGATTAGAATTCACTTGCTTTGCAACTGGTTCATATTTATGACCATTGCAGTGTCCCAAGGCCATGTGATCACTTTTTGCGACCTTCTGACAAGCCAAAATCAATGGGCTAGCCAGATTCACTTAACAACTGGGTTAGTAACTTACCAACTGCAGTGATTCACTTAACTGTGGCAAGAAAAGTCATAAAATGGGGCAAAACCCACTTAACCAATGTCTCAAGTAACCAATTTTGTGCTCCGTTGTGGTCATAAGTCAAGGACTATCTGTCATTTCTCCATTTTGTTTGGGCGGTGGCCAAAGACGGCCCCACAAAAGTGTGTCTTTTGTGTCCTGCCCTTGGAAAGATTGGCATGTGAAAACTGGAAATGCTGGTAAGGTGAGCTTTGAAGCCAAGAGGCGGCTGATGGCTGATTGAGGCGTTGTTCACACTCTCGTTTTTTTCCAAGTTGCAAAAATGGCCCAGCCCATCCTTTTAGTCCGGTTGGACTCAAGACTCATTCTTGACTAAGATATTAAACCAGGCTATTTTATTTCTACTCAAGTATTCCTGCAAATCCACCTCTAGACCAATACGTTGAAGCACTGCTGTTTTATGTTGGTAGCATGTCCATGCGCACTGTGTGCATTGTTTAGAATAGATACTGCTTTCGGCAGACACCTTCAATGCTATTCCCACAAAGGAATGGATTTTATATGAAAACAGAAATGAACTGTCTACTGCAGGGGTGTCAAACTCAATTTTTGCATCACAGTTGTGTTTGACCTTGGGAGTCCAAGGTGGGCGTGGCCAGCTTGACATCACTTGTGTTCAAGGCATCTGTGGAGACCAGAGTGCTCTGCCAGCGAAAACGGGCCCCCAAGCTCTGTTTTTGGCTGGCACAGCCTCCTGCAACCCTCTGCAAACGGAGCTAGGGAGAACGGAGCTAGGGAGGGAGCTCCGTTTTCACTGGAAGAGGCACTGTGGGCCAGCCCTTTGCTGTTTCCAGGGTGGCCCCAAGGGCCAAATCTAAGCATCCTGTGGGCCAAATCCGGCTCCTGGGCCTTGAGCTTGATACCCCTGGTCCACTAGCTTCTGCTGACATTAAACATCAAATTGTAATAGATGACAGAAAAATAGAACCTCCCTATGAGCAGAAGCTGAAAAGGGCTGTGATTAAACAAGGACATTGAAATTAGGCTATGCCTGATTCCTGCCACCAAAGATCTCTTGTTGCTTTGGGTCAATAGAGTTTTTGAGCAGACAGGTCCATTTGTACAAGTATATAATTTGGTTTAGCCAATAGATAATTTGGGCCTATGAATCATTTATCTAAAGCAGGATTTCCCTGGGTGATGGCTTTTCTATACAATGTGTTTCTTTTAAGTAATTAAATAAATAGTTCATTTCTTGCACTTACATAGTTCAGGTTCTAGGTGTATTCTGTTTTAAATATAAAACCTCTCTCTCTTTCCCTCCCTCCCCCCTTTGCAGGAAAAACATCTGAAAGGGTCTTTAGAGAGATTTTCAAATCAGATGTGCCTTCTATAGCAGAATTGGATTGTCCCACAAAAAGCAAAAGTACAATGGGACCAGAAATGAATGACGGATACAGTCTTGGCCAAAGTTTCACAGCCGTTTAATCTTTTCACAGTGGTAAGACATTTGCTCAGAGTTTATAGACTGGAAAAGGCTTTCTCTGCTTCCTCTTTCTTGGTATTTTCATGTTGTTCTCATTACATGGACATTTTATTCACATTTCTCCTCTTGGATAATAATAGGAAGGGAGGGAGTCATAAAAAGGCAGTAGACCAATGAATGATAGATTAGATCCTTAAAACCTGCCTGGTTCCTTATGAATGTATTTACATTCATTTGCATGGTGCCAAAAGATTTACAAAGTACCATGATGGCTTTTATTGCAATTCATCCATTTGCTGTTCCTACTAGGAATATATATTGTGGGATGTTTTCTCTTTTGGCCTTTTGCCAACTGTAGGAGAGAAGATGACTGAACTGCCATGCTTTATGTACTAGTATGTCAATAAAGGAGAATATTTGTAGCTCAGGGTTGAAATGAGGGATCCTTGGTGTTCTTGAGATTGGTTGTTTTGGTTGTTAACACTAGTATGTGTAACTGGGACTAAACAGTGATTGGGTGGCTGCTCCACTCCTCTTTTCAGATGTGACGTACTGGCCTTTGCAAGCTAAGCCATTAATCTGAAAAAGAAAAGGGAAAGATACAGGTAGTAACAAAAATAAACAATTGAGAAAAATCAGTTAATCTAAGCCAAGCTTAAGTTTCTAAGCATGGTGTTACTCAGCGTGCCCTTGTTATAGTACTGTATTTAACTATACTGAACAGTTTTTACAAGACGTTAAGCGGTCAATTTGACTGGTGGAAAAATACACCTGTTCACAGACTATATTTATATCAACTATGATAACATGTAATTACAGTATATAAACAATGTAATTTTATATCAAATGTATCAAATGTGAAAAATTGCATTAAATTTGAAATATTTGTATATTATATATGTTATGTAGTAATAAATCTTTTCTAGATAGCACAAATGCATTAGCTATAGAGACAATCAAGAGGAATTGTGAATTAAATATACCACAAGACAATGGTAGAAAATCCTCACATCTAACTGTGTACATTTCACTTTAATGATGCTATCATAGAAGTCTCCTCTTTTTTCTTAATGCCTTTAAATACATCTCAAGGCAGTGAACGTACCTAATACTTCTCTCTCCTATTTTCCTCACAACAACTACCTTGTGAGGTGGGTTGGGCTGAGAGAGCTCAAAATCACCCGGCTGGTTTTTATACCTAAGGTGGCATGGGTCTCGAACTGTCTGTCTCCTGGCTTCTACCTTAACTACTTAACCAATACCAATACCTTAACAAATGTGGCAAGAAAAATTGTAAAATGGGGCAAAATTCAATAAATTTCTCACTTAACAACATAAATTTTGGGCTCAATTGTGG